CCGAGGTCCCTTCCAGCCCTAATGTCTATGAAAACTATGAAGTCTATGAAATCCCATATTGCTAAAAAAAAAGCATTACAATTCTAAAATCCTGCAAGCTTACAATATTTTCAAAGACAAAATGCCATAAAACCATATTCAAAGAAAACATTGTTTTAAGTATTAGAAACTGTAAGACTTGGGCCATTAAGCCATCACTATGGAAAAAATGCAGTATTTTTATGAGGGAATAATTCTGCTGTCTGTTTGCAAATGAACATGCTATAATTAGCCTGGATTTCAAGAACTGATAACTCTGTTAATGATAAGTATGAATACAACATTTATTGAATACACATCATATAGCTGACTTCCAAGTTCTACTGAAACATTTAAGACTAATTTAACAAAATGAGTCACTACTGCAGAGTTACAGTGCATTTGGTGCATGGTATGATTTACTCTGATTCCACTACAGCTGCAGTCCAAATACTAATGGCATTTGTCTGACAATAACCTTTGCAATGTTCATGAGCATTATCTGAGAGAATTATTGTTTCTCTAGACATAGGTTCTATTTCAGTTAAGGGCATGGCATTCACTTCATTATATACTGCAGTTTGTTATAAGGAGAAAGGCCCATTGTATGAAATTATTTCTTTAAGAGTGATTCACCATTGTATTGTATGATGATTTCTCAGTATATCTGTTGTAAATATCGGGGAATTATTTGGAAAAAATGAGGGTGCAGACTAAGAAATGTAGTGATCATTAAATTAAAATATAGTCAGCCAATTTTAGCGGGTTCTGAAGAAATTGCTATATTCTTCATAGAATGCTGCCATCATGTGGTTCAAAATATAACTACATACTTGCCCCGTGGATGTTAGAGATGGTTACAATCTTTTACTTCAAATAATTTATTGTTTAATTTGTCCATTTCTTCTGTTCACAATTTAATCCTCATTTCTAAGAATATTTATTCTTATAAACATTGATTGATGAGCTTATGAAAAGTGATTTTTACCAAAGAAGTTCATTCAGCTGAACTCTTTGACTCTGTGATTCATGGTGTGTGTGATTAGGCCCCCATGTCGCATGGTATTGTTACAGGTCCTTGATTGGGTAAGTGATTTTTTAAACTGGAGAATAATGAATGATTAATAAAAATAGCAAATGAAGCCTTCTGGTATGAATTTTCATAGATCTCCTTTTTCAACTAGAAGCAACCATTTGGACTATCTAGTCTGGCACGACTGTATTTATGACACGACCATATACAGGCAGTCCTCGACTTACAATGTTTTGAGTTACAACATTTTGCACTTACAACATTTATAAATTGACACCCTGTTTCAACTTTCTGACATCAGTTTTGATTTTACAACGCTTGATCCAATGCGAAGCCACACCAGTGAACAAGTTCACTGTGTTGCCCATCTCCCTGGAGAACATTTGTCCAAACTTTCTAGGACACTTTCTTTAAGAAAGCAGACAAGACTCCAGAAAAACCTGCAGCCAAGACTCCCGAGAACACTTCAGCCAAGAGCCCTTCAAAAAGTCCAGCAAAGTCACCTCAAAGAATTCCTTCCAAATCAATATGATTGCTATTTACAATAGAAATACATTAATGTAGCTATATTACTCCTCTATAATTGATCGAGTACAACATTCTGGGGTATTTTTAGTGAAAATTGGGTATCAGGCCCTGGTTCAGGAACCAATCCCCCATTTATAACACTGTTTCTTATGAGAAAATTGGTTCTGAGTTGCAACGTTTCGACTTAAGAGTTGGTTTTCAGGAACCAATTGTGTTGTAAGTCCAAGGACTGCCTGTAATTTCACACAGTGAAAGTGCAATAAATTGTGGTTTCTGACTAATTAAGTTTAAAATTTATGTAGCAAACACTTTCATTCATAAATTAGGAAGGAGTGCATGTGTGTGACACAATCATAAAATAATAGAAAATTAGGACTGGAAGGGACAGTCAGCCCAACTGCCTGCTCAGAGTAGGACCTTCCCCAACTAGATCATCCCAGCTGAGGCAAAACTTCTAAGGATGGAGATTCCTCAAATTCTCTGGGTAGCCTGTTCCAGTGCTTTACTACCCTCCTAGTGAGAGTTTTTCCTGATATCTAACCTACGCTTCCCTTGCTGCATCTTGAGACCATTGCTTCATCTGTCATCTGCTACCCCTAAGAACAGTGCAGCTTCATCCCCTTTGAAACTCCCCTTCAGTAGTTGAAAGCTGTTATTAAATTCCTCCTCGGTCCTCTCTTCTCCAAACTTAATAAGCCCAGTTCCCTCAGCCTCTTCTCAGAAGTCATGTCCACAGCCCCCGGACCACTTTTGTTGCCCTCCACTGGATTCTCTCCTATTTGCCCACATCCTTGCTGTAATGGGGGGTCCAAAACTGAACACAGTACTCCAGATGTGGCCTCACCAGTGCTGCATCAAATGGAATAATCACTTCCCTTCATCTTCTGGCAGCGTTCCTACTAATATAGCTAGGCTTGAAGGATTCAAGCTTTATTGATAAACATCAATTTCACGTGACACTCACAGACCGACAGAAAAATATTTATGCCGGTACTCACTGAAGTTTACAAAAAGACACGTGTGAGTGTGTGTGTGTGTGTGTGTGTGTGTGTGTGTGTGTGTGTGTGTGTGTGTGTGTGTGTGTAAAATCCAGGACAGAGGTAAAGAAATCCAGGACAGGGAGTGCTGTGCACTACACACACACACGCACACACACAGAGCGTCTGCTGTAGGAGTTGGGGGCCATGCTGGTAAGGCTGTGCTGGGAGCAGGCTTGGAGGGGCAGGACTGATAGCAGAGGGGAGCCAGTGCCACTGGCCACCCGTTCTGCCCAGCCAGGGCAGGGGCCAAACTCCTGGGAAGCCTGGACCAGCCTTCACAGGAGTTTGGCTCTTGCCCCTGTCACACAGGGGCTCAGCCAGACTGGGTTGGGCTCTATGGGAATTTGGCTCCTGCCCCAGTCACCCAGGGGCCAAACTCCCATAGAGCCCAGCCTGGCCTGGCCCCTATGTGATTGGAGCAGGGGCCAAATTCCCATGGAGCCTGGCCCAACCCAGCCTGCTCCTGTGTAATTGGGGAGGGGGCCAAACTCCTGTGGAGGCCAGGTCAAGCTGGGCTCCATGGGAATTTGGTCCCTGCCCCAGCTGGGACCTGGGCAGAGTGAGGGGCTGGTGGCACTGGCTCATGGACACTACCAGCCCTGCCCCTTCAGCCCCTCCAGCCTCTTCTCCCCCTCTCCCCCCGAAACAGCCTTATTGGCACAGCCCCCAGTTGCTGCAGCAGCCACTGCACATGCATGCATGTGTATGCATGCATGCTATATGAATAAAAATAAAAAATGACCCCTAATTTTGCACAACCCTGAACATTTCAACCAGTAAAAATCACAAAAAATGCTTAAAAATAAACATTGATTTTAGCCATTAAAAAAAAATCAAATTCTGCCAAGCCTAAATATAGCCTGGTATGCTGTTATCCTTCTTTGCAAGATGAGCACACTGTTGGCTCATGCAGCTTATTGTCCACTGTAGCCCCCTGGGTCCTCTTCTGCAGAGCTGCTGCTTAGCCAGTCAGTCCCCAGCCTATACTACTGCATGGGATTGTTCTGTCCTAAGTGCAGGACTTTGCACTTCTCCTTCATATTGAACTTCATAAGATTTCTTTTGGTCCAGTCCTCCAATTTAGCTATCTTTCTCTACCCTCTAAGCATATCTGCTACTCCCCCCAGCTTGATGTAATCCTCAGACTTGCTGAGGGTGCACTCCATCCCATCTTCCAGATGGCTGATGGTTTTAGCTCTCCACAATCACCTATATTTTTTCAGCTCAAATTGGAATGACTCTATAAGAGGATATGCTCTTTGAAAAATATTCTTCAAGCAAGTGAAGAATTTAGCAGCCTGATAATGATGTATTGTTTTTGTGACTAGCACATACTTGTTTTAACTTATGCAATTTAAAGTTATAAACACATTGCAGATAGAGTCAATAAATCTATGCAGCTGGAATGTGGAGAAGAGATTCAGATTATGGCACCAAGTAGAAGGATTTTGCTCTCTGTCTAGTGAATAGGAGCCCATTTGGCCATGCTAGTTGTTTTGGAACATTTCAAATACATTTTTAGAGCTATTTGCCACACTGTTACCATTTTGTTTAATTAGTTTTCATCATCTTTTGTAATAAATCTCAACATCCTTTTTAAAATAATGTATGGACTTTCTAATGCTGAACCCTCTTTTTTTAACAAAGGAAAACGTCTTTCTGCATGATGCTTTTCTATAAGCCATCCTTTGTTTTAACCAGATGATTATTACTAGAAGATATCCTATGGCATGTGTAACCCAAGGTCAGACTAGATACTCCTAAAGGGTTTTTCTGGACTGAAAATCCTATAAATCTATTAACATGCTTTTATGGATAATGCTCTATATTCAGCATCACTGTATGACAGTGCCTTGTTGAGAACTCAAGATTATTTATTTGTCCTGATTTATATTAATATTTTTTTCCTATGGAATAGATGGAATACAATGATTTATACATAGACTTGAAAGTTTCTATAGGAATCTTTTCTGTTGCTAATAGGGGACAAAATAAAAACTCCAGAGATAAAATGACTTGAATATTGAAGTTGTGCCTGGTTAGTGCAAAAAAAGTTGTTTTCCCTGAGAAAAATCATGGCTAGTCAGTATGTCTTGGGATGAGCGTATGCAGAATTTGTTAAAGAAATTCCCTTCCAGTCCAAATTTTCTATGATTTTCTGATTGTGTCACATACATGCACTCCTTCCTAATTTATGCATGAAAGTGTTTGTGAATTGCAAAATGCTGCATAAATTTTAAACTTAATTAGTCAGAAATTGTATTCAGAGCAGTATGAAAAAGTATCTGGTAGCATTAGAAAAATTCCAAATACTGTCCTTTTTTCCATCTATGAACAGGAAGGAAACATACACTAGGTTCATGCCTGGAGAAATCTTGCAGTGGAAGTATGATCGCTTCCAAAATATTTCTCTATTTGTCTAAACACTAGATTATATTTAGGCTGGTTGGGCATTACAGATTTTACAAGTCAAGTCCAAAAATAAATAGGAAGCCATCCTTCTGGAGGAGTTGTGAAGGAAGGTGATGACTGTGTTCTCTTTGAGGTCTTCTGACTCTTCAGAGATCCCTCATTTACAATTACTGGGTGTGTCTACACATGCATATTCATACAAAGCAATAAACTTTGGTGCTTATTGCACCTGACTTTCTTGCTCCCCAGTGCCATGTTTATATGTGGGCCTGGGACTGCAGCATGTTGAACTGGGAGTTAATTAGTCTACTCCACAGTAAACATGTTAGGTAGATGTGCCCATCTTGTCCTGAAGTGTCATTTCAACAAGGAGTTTGTCCAAGGACCAAATGAGCAGAACATCTTACTGAATTCTGCACATCTATCTCCCAAGCAGAACAGAGGTCAAAACAATGCTACCAGTCATGCAGCCATCCTATGAGAGATGCATGGGCCTTCAGAAGATCAAAGTCAAGGTGTCCATAGGAAGTTTTCTTTTTAATTTATTTTTTGTGTTTCATGGGATATGAGTTTTAGATATAGTTGGCAATATCTAGTAACTCTAGTAAACTGCAAATTCATTGAAAGATTTGGGGGAAAACAATATTTGCCATAAAACTGAACAATGAGTGTTACTTCCATCACAGCAAACAGTGACTTCACCACAAGAGTGTGCTTACCTAAATCGTCCAGATAGCTTTGGACAGAACAAGGTTGGCTTATCCCATCCTGATACACTGCATACACTGAAACATTATAGTGTCTTCCAGCTGCAATGTCTGCTGGAAAGAAGTATGGGTTTATTTAAAACTTTATATGCAAACTGCAGTTAAAGCTGCAGAAACTTCTAATGAGATACTGAAGAGAAATGGAAAGAGACAGTGGTCGAATATAAGAGAGCACTGGGAAACAAGGGACTCCTAAATTCTAATTCCAGCACTCACACTAATTCACTCTGTCTTTGGACAGGTTATTTAATGATAGCTGCTCAGAAAATGCTCCCCTCCACTGCACTGGAATTTTTTTGGGAGGGTATTGTTAGCAATAAAGCTGCAGTAGCATGGACTTCACACAGGTTGAGCAAGGCCAGTCAGGATGCTGGGTACTTCCTCTTTGACTATAGCCTGCACCACCACAGTGATGCTACTACTGGCACTCAAACTGGCAAGATTTAAAGCTAGCTTGAGTATGTCTGCATGTGTTGAATCACAACTCCACTGGCAGTGTAGACCAGTGATTTTCAACCAGGGTACTGCCAGATCTTTTGAAGGGTGAGGCAAGGTGTTAGGAAATAAGCAGGTGTGAGGAGATAAGTGCAGGCTCAGGCTCCTCCCTAGACAGTCTCTTGAGGTCTCTTCTATAATTCTGTGATTTCCTTCTATAGCATTACAGGATCTTGTTTCAAATTCATATGGTCATCTAAAGCTATGTAGGACACAAGGTCACTACACTGCTCTGAAAGGAGTTCCACTGAGCGCAGTTCACCCAAACAAATTCAAGTGTGAAAAGGCATGGTCAATTGAGTTAGGGGATCTAGAAATAGTAGGACTGGAGTGTTGTTGTAGCAGTGCTGGTCCAGGAAGCTTATGAGAGAAGGATTTTTTGTGATACATTTTATTGGACCAACTGTATTAGCAGGGAGAGGCTGTTGGAGGAATCTGAAGAAGTGGGCTTGATACCAGAAAGCTTGTCCAACAGCTTTCCTAGCTACACAATTGATTCAATACAAGATATTACAAAAAATCTTCATCTCTCAGGATATAAAAGTACCAATATGTAGGCCTGTGTGAAACACCAAGTATTTGAGTCGGCTTTGGATTTGGCTGATTCAGAGGAACAGTGATTCATTTCGGCAGAGAAGCTGTGGGGGAATGCCCTGAAGCAGATGCTGGTGAATGGAGGATGGTAACCTCAGGGACCAGACCTCTTGCCACAGAGACAGCTCCCCTGGTGCAGTTGGGGAACAAATATGAGGCCCTGGCTGCACTGGAGGAGTGTGCGGTGGGGAAAGTGCACTGGAGGGGCCTGCCACCATCACTGAGTGAGCTGAGAGCCGGCCAGGTAAGCAGAAGAAGAGACGCTGCGTCATCATTGTGGGAGACTTCTTGCTGAGAAGAACAGAGGGACCTATCTGTCATCCGGATCCACAGTGCACAAGGTCTGCTGCCTTCCTGGAGCCCGGATCAGGGACATCATGGCGAGAATTCCTGACCTCATCTGGCCCTCCAATAACTGTCCCATGGTTGTCATCCATGTGTAAACACATGATGTGGCCTGAAGTAGTCCAGACCATATCATGAGTGACTACAGGGTTCTGGGGACCAGGCTTAGGAAGACAGGGGCACAGGTGGTCTTCTCATCAATCCTCTTGGTCAGCAGTCGCAGAAGGCATCATGTAACCTGTGTCAGAGAAGTCAACCCACGGCTCCGGAGTTGGTGCCATCGTGTGGGTTTTGGCTTCCTGGACCGCGATCTGCACTTCTGTGCAAGGGACCTCCTGGGACACGATGGGATTCATCTGTCCACAAAAGAGTCTCTTTTCTTACAGGTTGGCTGACCTCCTACGTTGGGCTTTAAATTAAGTACGACGGGGGACAAGGAAGCAGGAGATGGAGAGAGTCTAGAACCTACAAACTGCGAGACATGCAGCAGTATACCCCAGGTATGTATCAAGGGGCCCTTTGGGCATCAGAAGTGGGGAGGGGGGCACCAAAGGCACCATTTGGAGGGCTCAAGTGCCTCTATACTAATGCTAGAAGCATGAGGAACAAGCAGGAAGAACTCACGCTTCTGCTTGCAGATAATAACTTTGATTTAGTCAGGCTAACAGAAACCTGGTGGGACTCTACCCGTGACTGGGCAGTACACATTGAGGGCTACAGGTTGTACAGAATGGACAGAGTAAGGAGGAAAGGGGGCAGGGTTGCTCTCTATGTAAAGGAGCATTATACATCTACCCTAATTAAAATGGGATCAGAGGGGATTGAGGCATTGGGGGTTAGGATACGTGGAGGTTGAGAGGAAAGGGACTTGGTGGTGGAGGTCTGCTACAGACCACCAAACCAAGAGGAAAAGCTAGACTTGGAATTCTTGAGACAGCTCTCAGAGGCTGTTCGGTCTAGGGACATGGTTGTCATGGGGGACCTAAACTACCCTGACATCTGCTGGGAGGAGTAGTCAGCCAAATCCAACTGTTCACATAGGTTCTTAACCTGCGTGTAGGACCTTCACCTAACGCAGGAGGTATACGGTCCCACTAGGGAGAATGCCTTACTGGACTTGGTGTTGGCTACAGGGGAGGTCCTGGTAGGGGAGCTGCAGATTTGTGGTCACCTTGGGGACAGTGACCACCGATCAGTCGAATTCACCATACAGCATAGGGTGGGTAAGATAACTGGTAGGGTGGAACAAGAAGGGGCAATTAGTGACAGACGGGGGGACCAGGCTGAACTATTCAATGAGTTTTTTGCCTCAGTGTTCCTGAATAGGGCTCAAGGTAAGTCTCCTGATGGGTTCTTAGATGGATATCAGAAGGACACCAGCCCACCAACTGTCAGTGCTGACTTGGTGCAGAGTCATTTGAATGGACTGGATGTGTTCAAGTCAGCAGGCCTGGATGAGCTGCATCCAAGAGTACTGAAGGAATTGGTCAGTGTCATAGCAGACCCACTGGCATGGCTGTTTGAGCACTCGCGGCACTCGGGTCAGGTCCCGGAGGACTGGAAAAGGGCCAATGTGGTCCCTATTTTCAAGAAGGGGAGGAGGGAGGATCTCAGTAATTATAGGCCAGTCAGTCTCACCTCCATCCTTGGAAAGGTCTTTGAAAAGATTATGAAGGATCGTACTTGTGGGAGTCCAGTGGGAAAAATAATGCAGCAGGAAAACCAGCATGGATTTGTAGCAGGTAGATCATGCCTGACCAATCTGGTTTTGTTTTATGACAGGGTCACAAAATGCTTAGATGCAGAAGTAGAGGTGGATGTCGTTTTCTTGGATTTTAGTAAGGCCTTTGATATGGTATCTCATCCCATTCTCATAAATAAGTTAAGAGGCTGTGACAGATATTTACACAGTCCAGTGGGTGGCAAATTGGCTTAGAGGTCGCACCCAGACAGTGGTAGTAGAGGGGTCAGTATTGACCTGGAAGGATGTGGGTAGTGGGGTCCCACAGGGTTTAGTCCTTGGACCTGTACTCTTCAATATCTTCATCAGGGTCAAAGTGGACTCCAAGATGAACATGAGTCATCAGTGTGATGAAATCACCAGCAAAGCTAACCACACTTTATCACGCATCAGCAGATGCGTGACAAATACAACCAAGGAGGTGATACTTCCCCTCTATGCGGCATTGGTCAGACCGCAGTTGGAGTACTGCGTCCAGTTTTGGGCACCCTACTTCAAGAAGGATGTTGATAGACTCGAGAGGGTCCAGAGGAGGGCCACTCATATGGTTAGGGGCTTACTGGACAAGCCCCATGAGGAGAGATGGAGGGACCTGGACCTCCTCAG